TGCTAGGAGGGATGTAGGGGGTTGTCCTAAGTGCTAGGAGGGATGTAGGGGGTGGTGCTAGGAGGACGTAGGGGGTTGTAGGGGGTTGGGGGTTGTCCTAGGAGGGACGTATGTAGGGAGGGATGTAGGGGGTTGTGCTAGGAGGGATGTAGGGGGTGGTGCTAGGAGAGACGTAGGGGGTTGTCCTAGGAGGGACGTAGGGGGTTGTCCTAGGAGGGACGTAGGGGGTGGTGCTAGGAGGGATGTAGGGGGTTGTCCTAGGAGGGATGTAGGGGGTGTGCTAGGAGGGACGTAGGGGGTTGTGCTAGGAGGGACGTAGGGGGTTGTCCTAGGAGGGACGTAGGGGGTGGTGCTAGGAGGGACGTAGGGGGTTGTCCTAGGAGGGAAGTAGGGGGTTGTGCTAGGAGGGATGTAGGGGGTTGTCCTAGGAGGGAAGTAGGGGGTTGTGGTAGGAGGGACGTAGGGGGTTGTGCTAGGAGGGACGTAGGGGGTTGTGGTAGGAGGGATGTAGGGGGTTATGCTAGGAGGGATGTAGGGGGTGGTGCTAGGAGGGATGTAGGGGGTTGTCCTAAGAGGGATGTAGGGGGTTGTGCTAGGAGGGATGTAGGGGGTGGTGCTAGGAGAGATGTAGGGGGTCGTGCTAGGAGGAGCGTAGGGGGTGTGTGTAGGAGCGTAGGGGGTTGTGCTAGGGGGACGTAGGGGGTTGTCCTAGGAGGGGCGTAGGGGGTCGTGGTGCTAGGAGGAGCGTAGGGGGTTGTGCTAGGAGGTGGATTGAGGGAATTAATTCTAGGAGGGGGGGAGGGATTTGTACTAAGAGGGGTGAAGTAGAACTACAGGTGAAGTTTTTTTTTTTCTTGGGTGGGGGGTGCAAGTAGCAGGTCTTGCCTGAGCCGTAAATCAGTCTAGCAGCGGCCCTGCCGGGAGCCCCGAATCCCGCCTGTGTCTAGACAACAGGTACTCTTTAACCCCCTCCGCCGCCCCGTAGCCGGCCAATCAGCATTCTGGGTTCCCACAATTTTGCTGGCAGCGAAGCCGGACAGCCGGGGCAGCAATAACGAGACACGCCGATTTATTCCTCGCTGTCTTTTTACTGCCGGCGAATGTGAATTGGCCCTCCAGTCCCTTTCCAAGGACAACAGACAGCGTCTTATTAGAACGATCGTTCCCCGAAGAACCGTCCGGCAGCAGAAAGGCTAGAGAGCGTTTTACACACACTTGTCTGGCGGAGTCTGCCAAGAAGGGGGGCTGGCGAGCCGTTTACGGGCTTCCTGCGCTCCACGCTAATTAACAGTCTGCGCGGCTTTACAAAAAAAAAAAGATGGAGTCACGGCTGGTTAGTTATTTCACGGGGGAGTCTGCGTTTGTCATTGAAACAATATTGCGAATTTTAAAAAATATCTGTAAAGACGCGGGATTTTCCAACGTGAGGAACAAGTTCTAGGGTGACCGCAAAATTGGAAGCGCCTTTAACTACCATTGCATCATGTCTGTGCATGGAGGATGGTAGGAGGATACATGGGGGATGGGGGGGGGGATGCACTGACTGCCGAGCGCAGCGACTCAACCAATCAGAACTAAACTCCACAAACAAAAAAAAAATTTAAGAATATTCCTTGAGAGCCACAAAGAATATAAACCCACTTTGCCTTTGCAAACCCAGATATTACCTTGTAAATGTAACAGTGACATCATCACGGTGCTGTTCATAGCCCATGCAGACAGCAGAACTGTGGGAGGGGCCCAGCAGGCTCCACCCACTGCAGAAAATTACAGGGGGGGGGGTGGAGACAAGACCAGTCATCCTGCACCAGAAGAGAGCAGAGTTTTGGGAGGGGCTGGCAGGCTCCACCCACTACCAACAACTGCAGGTGGAGATGAAATCAGTCACCCTGCACAAATACAGGGAGCAAAGCTATGGGAGGGGCCCAGCAGGCTCCACCCACTACAGAAAACTACAGGAGGAGGTGGAGACAAGACCAGTCATCCCGCACAAGAAGAGAGTAGAGTTGTGGGAGGGATCCAGCAGGCTCCACCCACTACAGAAAACTATAGGAGGAGGTGGAGACGAAACCAGTCACCTTGCACAAATTCATGGAGCAAGGCTGTGGGAGGGGCCCAGCAGGCTCCACCCACTACAGAAAATTACAGGGGGGTGGAGACAAGACCAGTCATCCTGCACAAAAGAGAGAGCAGAGCTGTGGGAGGGGCCAGCAGGCTCCACCCACTACCAAAAAACTGCAGGTGGAGACGAAACCACTCACCCTGCATAAATACATGGAGAAAAAGCTGTGGGAGGGGCCCAGCAGGCTCCACCCACTACAGAAAATTACAGGGGTGGTGGAGACAAGACCAGTCATCCTGCACAAGAAGAAAGAGCAAACTTTTGGGAGGGGTCAGCAGGCTCCGCCCAATACCAAAAACTGCACGTGGAGGTGGAGACGAGACCAGTTACCCTGCACGAACAGAGAGAGCAGAGTTGTGGGAGGGATCCAACAGGCTCCACCCACTACAGAAAATTACATGGGGGGGTGGAGACAAGACCAGTCCCCTGCAAAAAACAGATATAAGAACTGTGGGAGGGGCCTATAAGGCTCCACCCACTGCAGAAAACTACAGGAGGGGGGTGAAGAAAAGATCAGTCACCCTGCACTAAAGCAAAAGCTGTGGGAGGGGCCCAGCAGGCTCCACCCATCCAGCGCAGGCTGCCTACAGAAAACTACAGGAAGGGGCGGAAACAAGACCAGTCCCCCTGCAGGTGAGAGAGCAGCAGTGAGAGGTCTTTATTACAGGAAGTCTCACGCTGGAATACTGCACAGATCTGGGAGAAACAACACAAAGATCTCCATGAAAAATACACAACTAATGGACTATTTCCATCCCTCAACCTTCAAGGCAGGAAAACTGCAGATCTTAAAATATTGAAATATTACAATTGGCCGCTGAGCTTCTCCTATCCCCAGCCTGGAAACAGGGCACTGAGCGGAACTCCTCCTCCCCACACAGCACAGATCCCATTCGCTTTACAGACACAGACTTGATCTGCACCGTGTGTAGCTGCCTACTGCAGCTGCACTGCCGTCTTGATTCTGGAGTTTCACAGGACAGAAGTGCAACATAGTAGCCAGCTACACGCAGTGCAGATCAAGGCTGTCCGCAGGGGAATCTGATATCAGATCTGTGCTGTGTGTGGAGAGGAGATCTGCTCAGTGCCCTGCCGGCAGTGACCTTTGTCCTCTGCCCTACTGACCCCTGTACAGTATATTACTGACCCCTGTCCTCTGCCCTACTGACCCCTGTCTTCTGCTCTGCTGACCCCTGTACAGTTTATTACTGACCCGTCTTCTGCTTTGCTGGCCCCAGTCCTCTGCCCTACTGACCCGTCTTCTGCTCTGCTGGGCCCCTGTCTTCTGCTCCGCTGACCCCTGTCCTCTGCCCAGCTGATCCCTGTCCTCTGCCCTGCTGAGCCCTCTGCATTGCCCTGCTGACCCCTTTACATTGCCCTGCTGACACCTGTCCTCTACACTGGTAAACCCTGCCCTCTGCCCTACTGACTCCTGGCTTCTGCTCTGCTGACCCCTGTACAGTGTATTACTGGCCCCTGTCCTCTGCCCTGCTGACCCCTGTACAGTGTATTACTGGCCCCTGTCCCCCTTTACTGCTCTGCTGACCCCTGTACAGTGTATTACTGGCCCCTGTCCTCTGCTCTGCTGACCCCTGTACAGTGTATTACTGGCCCCTGTCCTCTGCTCTGCTGACCCCTGTACAGTGTATTACTGGCCCCTGTCCTCTGCCCTGCTGACCCCTGTACAGTGTATTACTGGCCCCTGTCCTCTGCCCTGCCCTGACCCTTGTACAGTGTATTACTGGCCCCTGTCCTCTGCCCTGCTGACTCCTGTCTTCTGCCCTAATGACCCATGACCTCTGCCCTGCTAAACCCTGTACACTTCCTTGCTGATCCCTGTCTTTGGCTGTACTGACACCTATCTTCTGCACTGCTAACCCCTGTCCTCTACCCTGCTGACCACTGTACAGTTCCCTGCAGACCCCTATCCTCGGCTGTGCAGACACATGTCCTCTTCCCTACTGACCCCTGTACAGTATATTACTGGCCCCTGTCTTCTGCTCTGCTGGCCCCTGTCCTCTGCCCTACTGACCCCTGTCTTCTGCTCTGCTGACCCTGTACAGTGTATTACTGGCCCCTGTCCTCTGCCCTGCTGGCTCCTGTCTTCTGCTCTGATGACCCCAGTCCTCTGCCCAGCTGATCCTTGTCATTTGCTCTGCTGAGCCCTGTCCTCTGCCCTGCTGAGCCCTCTACATTGCCCTGCTGACCCCTTTACAAAGCCCTGCTGACAACTATCCTCTGCACTGCTAACCCCTGTACACTGCCCTGATGACCCCTGTACACTGCCCTGATGACCCCTGTACACTGCCCTGCTGACCCCTTTACATTTCCTTGCTGATCCCTGTCTTTGGCTGTACTGACACCTATCTTCTGCACTGCTAACCCCTGTAAACTGCCCTCATAACCCCTGTCCTCTGCCCTGCTGACCCCTATCCTTGGCTGTGAAGACACATGTCCTCTGCCCTGCTGACCACTGTATACTGCCCTATTGTTCTCTGTTCTCTGCCTTGCTGACCCCTATTCTCCTCCCTGGTGACCCCAGTTCTCTGCCCTGTACACTGCCCTCCCTGATGAAAACAGTGGGGAGAGGTATGCAAATATTAACATGCCTTGATAGGTTGATGTCAATTTGGAGGAATGAGCAATCCTAGGCGGGCTGTATTTGCATAGGTAACGCCCACATGTGATGCTGAACCTCCATGATTGAAAGAACTGAAATCCAACGAATGAACAGTCAAGTTGGGGAGGAAAGCGCTAGATGATGCTGGACGTCCGCCAGCCAGGAAATGAGGGGGAGCTCTATCTGACTGGCTGCAGCTTCTAATGCACATTGTGAGAGGCTCACAGTATGCAGTGACATCAGAGTAAGCCAGTCCAGGAGAGGAGCCGGTACACCTGTGCAAGACTGAAGGGGGAGGAGCCGGTACACCTGTGCAAGACTGAAGGGGAGGAGCCGGTACACCTGTACCATACTGAAGGGGAGGAGCCAGTACCCTATGCAAGACTGAAGGGGAGGAGCCGGTACACCTAAGCAAGACTGAAGGGAGGAGTCAGTACACCTGTGCAAGACTGAGGGGGAGGAGCAGGTACACCTGTGCAAGACTGGAGGGGAGGAGCCAGTACACCTGTGAAAGACTTAACGGGAGGAGCCGATACACCTGTGCAAGACAAAGGGGAAGGAGTAAGTACACCTGTGCAAGACTAAAGGGGAGGAGCCGGAACACCTGTGCAAGACTGAAGGGGAGGAGTCAGTACAAGACCTGTGCAAGACTGAAGGAGAGGAGCCACTACACCTGTGCAAGACTGAGGGGGAGGAGCCGGAACACCTGTCCAATACTGAAGGGGAGGAGTCAGTAACCTGTGCAAGACTGAAGGGGAGGCGCCGGTACACCTGTGCAAGACTGAAGGGGAGGAGTCAGTACACCTGTGCAAGACTGAGGGGGAGGAGCCGGTACACCTGTGCAATACTGAAGGGGAGGAGTCAGTACACCTGTGCAAGACTGAGGGGAAGGAGCCGGTACACCTGTGCAAGACTGAAGGGGAGGCAGTACACCTGTGCAAGACTAAAGGGGAGGATACGGTATACCTGTGCAAGACTAAAGGGGTGGAGCCAGTACACCTGTGCAAGACTGAAGGGGAGGAGCCAGTACACCAGTGCAAGACTAAAGGGGAGGAGCCGGTACACCTGTGCAAGACTAAAGGGGAGGTGCCGATACACCTCTGCAAAGACTAAAGGGGAGGAAGCCGGTACACCTGTGCAAGACTGAGGGGTAGGAGCCGGTAGACCTGTACCATACTGAAGGGGAGGAGCCAGTACCCTATGCAAAGACTGAAGGGGAGGAGCCGGTACACCTAGGCAAGACTGAAGGGAGGAGTCAGTACCACCTGTGCAAGACTGAGGGGGAGGAGCAGGTACACCTGTGCCTCTTAAGACTGGAGGGGAGGAGCCGGTAACCTGTGCAAGACTGGAGGGGAGGAGCCAGTACACCTGTGAAAGATTTAACGGGAGGAGCCGATACACCTGTGCAAGACAAAGGGGAAGGAGTAAGTACACCTGTGCAAGACTAAAGGGGAGGAGCCGGAACACCTGTGCAAGACTGAAGGGGAGGAGTCAGTACACCTGTGCAAGACTGAAGGGGAGGAAGCCACTACACCTGTGCAAGACTGAGGGGGAGGAGCCGGAACACCTGTCCAATACTGAAGGGGAGGAGTCAGTAACCTGTGCAAGACTGAAGGGGAGGCGCCGGTACACCTGTGAAAGACTGAAGGGGAGGAGTCAGTACACCTGTGCAAGACTGAGGGGGAGGAGCCGGTACACCTGTGCAATACTGAAGGGGAGGAGTCAGTACACCTGTGCAAGACTGAGGGGGGAGCCGGTACACCTGTGCAAGACTGAAGGGGAGGCAGTACACCTGTGCAAGACTAAAGGGGAGGATACGGTATACCTGTGCAAGACTAAAGGGGTGGAGCCAGTACACCTGTGCAAGACTGAAGGGGAGGAGCCAGTACACCAGTGCAAGACTAAAGGGGAGGAGCCGGTACACCTGTGCAAGACTAAAGGGGAGGTGCCGATACACCTGTGCAAGACTAAAGGGGAGGAGCCGGTACACCTGTGCAAGACTAAAGGGGAGGAGTCGGTACACCTGGGCAAGACTGAAGGGGAGGAGCCGGAACACTTGTGCAAGACTGAAGGGGAGGAGCGGGTACACCTGTGCAAGACTGAAGGGGAGAGCCGGTACACCTGTGCATGACTGATGGAAGGTCGGGGGTCAGATTGTATTTCTGGGCCCCGTTCCTTCTCTCCCCGGTTACATTTTGGCTCCCCATGGTGTGCAATGTTACTTTCCTTCTATCCTATTGGTGGATATTTATATCTCTAAATACAATCTTTAGCTCTTTAGTTCATCCAAATCAATATTTTTATCTCCTCTCACACTTGGGAGACTCAGAACACGATGACGTTTTTGGCTGCAGACATCGAGCGGTACGACGTCAGTCGATGAAACTTTGTTCTGCGCTGTGATTTTACGGCCCCCTCGGAATATCCCACGGTCGTGTCAGGGGGAGATACGGACTGAGAGCGGGGGGGGGGGGAGGGGGGAATATCTCACTGCGCTGTAATGGAGAAGACACATGTAATGGTTCTGACACATGCTGGGGACCCGGCGTGTTTTTTCAATCAGTTTTCGGTGAGTTTTTCCAGGACCCGGCTCCGCCTCGCAGAAATAATAATAATTTGCGGATTATTCTGTCAATACCGGCTCATGGATCTCTAATCCCGACAGTTTCCTGCAGACTTTGGCAGGGACCGGCCTTATCTGTCCGTGATTGAACCTCAACAACCTTCAACGATGCCAGGGCTTCGGGAAATCCCTTTTCTTTTTCATTTTTTTTTTTTTATATATATGGTTGAACTGGATGTCTTTTTTCAGCCAGACTAACTATGTAACTATGTCTACCTTTTTTTTTTTCCTTTTATACAAAGACCTTCTCTTGACTTGTGAACTGGAGGTCCTGATGAAGGGGGTGCTGGAGAATAATCAGATTTTAGAACCCCTATAATATACACAGGAAAATAATATGGACTACTTGAGATTGGGGTGTCCCAGACCAAGAAGAAAGTGAAGGAAGAGGGGCACCTCATCTTATAATTACAGACCCTCGAAAAAAAGCACAAAATGGACTTTTGAGCTGCTCCAGGAAAACCACAATATCATGTATGGGCAGCACAGCGGCTAAATGGTCAGCACTTCTGCCTGGCAGTACTCGGGTCGTTGGTTCAAATCCCAACCACGGCACCACCTGCCTGGAGTCAGCATGTTCTCCCTGTGCCTGTGTGGGTTTCCTCCGGGTACTCCGGTTTCCTCCCACACTCCAAAGACATGCTGGTATGTTAATTGGCTCCGGTCTACATGTATATGAATGTGAGTTAGGGACCTTAGACTGTACACCCCTTGAGGGTTAGGGACCGATGTGAATGTACAATATATATGTAAAGCGCCATGTAAACTGATGGCACTATAGAAGTACCTGAAATAAATATATATATATAATACAAATATAGAAATACAAATAAAAAAATGTATGATGGGAGTTAGGGACCTGAGACTGTACGCTCCTCGGGGGGGTCGGGGACTGATGTGAATGTACAATATATATGTAAATGCTGCGTAAATTGGCGCTATATAAGTACCTGAAAGAAATAAAGTAAGAGAAAAGAACATCCCTGTACAAGTTTATTTTTACAAAAACATTCAAATTTGGCTGTTACAAAATTTCCATACATTAACCACTTCAAGTCCGGACACTTTCCCCCCCCTTCCGTCCGGACACTTCCCCCCCCTTCCAGTCCGGACACTTTCACCCCCTTCCAGTCCGGACACTTTCCCCCCCTTCCAGTCCGGGGACACTTTCACCCCCTTCCAGTCCGGACACTTTCACCCCCTTCCAGTCCAATCGCTTTCACCCCCCTTCCAGTCCCAATCGCTTTCCCCCCCTTCCAGTCCAATCGCTTTCCCCCCTTCTTCCAGTCCCGACACTTTCCCCCCTTCCAGTCCCGACACTTTCCCCCCCTTCCAGTCCCGACACTTTCCCCCCCTTCCAGTCCCGACACTTTCCCCCCCTTCCAGTCCCGACACTTTCCCCCCCTTCCAGTCCCGACACTTTCACCCCCTTCCAGTCCGGACACTTTCACCCCCCTTCCAGTCCGGACACTTTCAACCCCCTTCCAGTCCGGACACTTACCCCCCTCCTTCCAGTCCCGGACACTTTCCCCCCCTTCCAGTCCGGACACTTTCCCCCCCCTTCCAGTCCGGACACTTTCACCCTCTTCCAGTCCGGACACTTTCCCCCCCCTTCCAGTCCGGACACTTTCCCCCCTTCCAGTCCGGACACTTTCACCCCTCCTTCCAGTCCGGACACTTTCCCCCCCCTTCCAGTCCGGACACTTCACCCCCTTCCAGTCCAATCGCTTTCCCCCCTTCCAGTCCGGACACTTTCCCCCCTTCCAGTCCGGACACTTCCCCCCCCCTTCCAGTCCGGACACTTTCCCCCCCTTCCAGTCCCGACACTTTCCCCCCCCTTCCAGTCCCGACACTTTCCCCCCCCTTCCAGTCCCGACACTTTCCCCCCCTTCCAGTCCCGACACTTTCACCCCCTTCCAGTCCAATCGCTTTCCCCCCCCTTCCAGTCCGGACACTTTCCCCCCCCTTCCAGTCCGGACACTTCCCCCCTCCTCCTTCCAGTCCGGACACTTTCCCCCCCTTCCAGTCCCGACACTTTCCCCCCCTTCCAGTCCCGACACTTTCCCCCCCCTTCCAGTCCCGACACTTTCCCCCCCCTTCCAGTCCCGACACTTTCACCCCCTTCCAGTCCGGACACTTTCCCCCCCCCTTTCCAGTCCGACACTTTCCCCCCCCCCTTCCAGTCCGGACGCTTTCCCCCCCCTTCCAGTCCGGACGCTTTCCCCCCCTTCCAGGCCAATTTTCAGCTTTCAGCGCTGTCACACTTTGAATGACTATTGCGCGGTCATGCAACACTGTACCTCATATGAATTTTTTAGCATTTTTTTGAGACAGATAAAGCTTTTTTTGTTGGTATTTATTCACCACTGGGATTTTTATTTTTTTTGCTATATTAATGAAAATGTCCAAACATTTTGAAAAAAAAAGTGCTTTTCTTATAACATTTTGCAAATAAATAATCTTTCTTCATAAATCTTGGCCAAAATGTATTCAGTTATCTTTTTTGTAAAAAAAAAACCCCACAAATTAGTTTATAACTAAAATATATTTATAATTTTTCCTAAAATTTTTTTACATTTTTTATTTTTTTTTAATTTATGGTTTTTTTTTGTACATACTGTCACCCTAGCAGTACAGTGTCACCATGGTGACACTGTAATACTTGTGGGGGGTGATTACGTTTTTTTTTTTTACACTGATTGCTTTTACACCCATAAAGGCTGTAAATGGAATCATTTCTCCTTCTCTCTGGCTGCATTCTTGCAGCCATTGAGAAATACTGTGTGAGTTGTGATTGGTCACAGCTTGTCACATGGTACAATGCTGTTGTGAATGGTCCTTTACCATGTGATCTCTGTGATCATTCACAGATTTCACACGTAGAAAGCAATGATGTCAGAAGTGACATCTTGCTTATACTATTGCATGTGTTCACTGATTGGCCAATCAGTGATCACATGATCGGGACCTCGCACAGAGGTCCTGTATGACGATCTGTGTTCTGGACATAGCGGGCACCGGAGTGCGGTGCCACACGCTCCCAGGGAGTGCGTACAGTCCAAAATGGTGGGCGCCATTTATGAACGGCAACCCGCCCCTGCACTGCCCCCGTCTGGCCGTTTATATATATGGGCCGGACGGGAAGTGGTTAAACAAGTAGGCACAGAACTTGCTGCATAGACATTTCCTCCTCGGTCATTATACATAAACCATTATTACGGCTGATGAGCGGGTTCCCCCCATGTAGGGAATTAGATTCCACTTGGCAAATATTGTTGCTTGTGTGTTGAC